ATTATATTTTGGATCAATTTTGTTTTACATTATCCAATTTCATTGTAAATCAACCATTATGAGTTCCTGAACTTTACCTGTTGATGTTTTTAAACCGAATAAATGAATAAATAATAAATTGCTAATTATGGAATTATGGAAATCTTATGATGAAATGTTGATTGTTTGGTGATGGGTTGATTTTAACGTCAATTTATGTATCACATGCATATGATGCATATTTATGAAGATATCCTTAAAAAATCGAAATCTTGTATAAAAATGAATCAAATATTATTTTTGAAAATTCAGACAAGGATTAAGAGTCGAGAACGGTACAACGAATCGTCTTCTTTCTCCAATAATTTAATGAAGCGTCAAAGCTTCCGCGCTCACTGCACCCCGCTGGTTCGCACGCTCTGCGTGCTCACTACCGCCCCTGAAATAAAATCCTAGCTACGCGGGTGTAACATCACACCTCAGGAACAAACGGGACATCTCACCTATGTTCAAAAGTGTGTAAGCATTTTGTTGATATAGGCTTACGTGCAGTGGCGAATCCAGGGGGACCCGCGACCCCCCCCCCCCCTGAGAAGAAAAAAACGTGTAAAAACACGTTAATTTTACCTTTTTTTTTTAGATGGTACCCCCCCCCCCCCTGGCGCTCAAGGGGGTGTGCGATTATTTCAATTTTTCGAAAAGGGCCGGCACGATTTTCACATTTCAGCACACAATTGATTTCAAATGTGCCCCCCCGCCCCCCAAGAAATCCTGGATCCGCGCCTGCTTACGTGTACTGACTTAATTGAATTCATTATCATGGTCATTAGTGAAATGGCACTATAACTGTATTCCGATCTTAAAGTAACTTTAAAATGAATAACAGGAAAAAGGGAAACATGAATGGGTGCAATTAAGTCAGCAGCAATGAATAAAATTACTTAATAAAAAATGCAAATATTTCTTGGGATAAAAACCAAACGTATTAATGTTTATACACTATTATACTTTCCTGAAAGAAATAGGCAAATGCCTACATGAAAGGAAAGAATGTGGTAGCAAGTTAAAAATCGATAAACCTTGACTAAATGCTGATAAAAAAAATTAAATGAACCTGTCACCAATGAAAATAAACGGACTGAAACAGAATAACAAGTGAGAGAGAGAGTGTGTGTGTGTGTGTGTGTGTGTGTAGCAACATAACGTGGTATAACTTTGAAAGTTTGAAATAACTGTAAAGGTGACATGTAATTGTATCCTCCCCCCCTCCCCCCCGATCGACCCCCATGGCACAGATTGTCGCCGGTACAATAGTTTGCAAAACCACGCACACAAACACACTGGCCCGAATTCATGAAGGACGCGTTTCGACGCTTTTTTTACAAGCCTGGTAAAAACGCGTCATATGACGCACATAAACCTAGGTTTGTCGACAAACCTCCTTTGTGAATTCGGGCCATTTTGTTCAGTTGTTTCGCCAGTTTACTCTGATGGGCGAAAGATGAAACAATTCAGTATCATTAATCGACTTTCTATGCATGGGTTCATTTTAGCGGCCTCTTAATCTCTTCCATTTCAGAATAACTTTATGAGAAGCAAAAATACAACGTTTGCCTTGTTTTGAGGTGTGCTTTGAATACTGACTGATGTAACATATCGATGAAATTGAAATGGAGAAAGAACTGTATGAAGGGATTTATTATTTAAACATTAGTGACATCACTTACGGGACAATGAATCTTGAACATTACATGTACATACTCCGTGGCAAGAAGGAAATAAGCGAGAGAAAAGAAGGGCAATGACAAGAGAGAGAGAGAGAGAAAGAGTAGCCTATGGCCCGGGTTCAAATTAAGTTTTCTTTAATTTATTAGACCCGGTACTGATGATCATCTACATTGTATTTACCATATGATTGCCATGTGTCCGCTACATCGAATAGTACCTCATTTTTGTTTATTTTTGTGAAGAACTTATTGGCTTGCACTTGGTAGATTGTCATGATGTGTTTGATCTTGTTATTGAAAACAAGGTCAAACACATCGTCATAATCCACAGGGTGCAACCAAAATTTCTTAACAACAATTCAAATTCCTTTCAGGTAGCCTAACAATAAAAGCTGGTTTTTATTAAAATAGCATTGCAGAGACGATGAACAAATAACAATGATAATACAACGTCGTAAAGCGTGAGAACGTTCACTTTTGTCTCTCCCCGCCAAATAATCCGATCAAAAGAATCAACCGTTAAAGATACTATGTCCGTTTTGCAGTCAACATCAAATTCTGTAGAGCTTTGCAGGAATGATGAATATGTCATGTACAGTTGTATGTCCTATCTGTGAAATTTAAACGTTAGCAGTGTCCTAATATTCAAATTATGCAAGAAAACCCGTTTACTTGCTAGATGTCACTGTCACACACTATTGAGTGTGTGCCACTATCTGGCGAACAGAGCAACAAGACCAAGCTCTGTAATTATTAGGATCTCTGTCCAGTAGTGCCGTGTTTGTGCCATCGAACTGGATCGACCAAATCAATTGATTCATAATATATGTAAATGCAATATTTTTTCCCGTAACATGAGAGTAATTTCAATAGTTTCATACTATTAATTAAATGTATTGTTAACTGTAACTGTATAATTGTTTTAAATGGGGGCACGCTACAAGAGTCCTATCTCGCACCCCGGGGCAACGTGTCTGACACGGCCGGTTGTAGCAACTACTCCGAAGATCAAGATTACAGTAATCTTGATCTAAGGAGACACGAACGAACGAACAGTATTGAGTGACTGACTGGCTTTTTTTTTCTTCTTTGGTAATAACATACATAAAATGAGCTATAAATGGTACATGAGCATTTGTCTACATCAATAACCCACTTCTTGTAATGACCAAAATTTAACTGATTGAATCTTTGCGCAGCGTAAAACATATGACCATTCGGTACAATGCTCTGAAAATCAGACTATTACTTAATGGCTTTATAGCTCTTAAGTCGATTCGACAACACATAGTCGTTATTTTCCCACTTAAATACATTTTCAACCCCCCCCCCTTTTTTTTAAGGGAAGTTCTAAATTAGTATTATCTTTCAAATGCCGTTGGAATTTAACTTTTTCATTTTTTGGCCTGCAAATGGGAAATAGTACCTTTAAACAAATTTATCATCTGTCCTTGAAAAATTAATTTATACTACTTGACATAGTAGTATTAAAGAGCAGCAAAGTTGAACGATTGTCGCTACAATTCAGAAATGGTTGCTTGGACTGCTTTTCCCTAAAAATTACCATGAGATAGGCTATATGGTTCGTAAGGTTCATCTTTATTGTCCATTAAAACAATGAAAATTCATAATGTTACATGGTATTGTGACATTTAACATAGTACACTCATACAAAAATCAATAAAATAATGTTTGAGTTGACAGTAAACAGAAATAAACAATTAACAATCAAAACAAAGATATAGTCATGCATCGAAAATAATATACATGTATTTCAAGTTAGGTGGAATGAATATAGGATTTTACAAGTATCGATAATGTATTGCATTATTATCATTGCTATACAGACTTATTATTATTATTTTATATTATTATTATATTTTGGATCAATTTTGTTTTACATTATCCAATTTCATTGTAAATCAACCATTATGAGTTCCTGAACTTTACCTGTTGATGTTTTTAAACCGAATAAATGAATAAATAATAAATTGCTAATTATGGAATTATGGAAATCTTATGATGAAATGTTGATTGTTTGGTGATGGGTTGATTTTAACGTCAATTTATGTATCACATGCATATGATGCATATTTATGAAGATATCCTTAAAAAATCGAAATCTTGTATAAAAATGAATCAAATATTATTTTTGAAAATTCAGACAAGGATTAAGAGTCGAGAACGGTACAACGAATCGTCTTCTTTCTCCAATAATTTAATGAAGCGTCAAAGCTTCCGCGCTCACTGCACCCCGCTGGTTCGCACGCTCTGCGTGCTCACTACCGCCCCTGAAATAAAATCCTAGCTACGCGGGTGTAACATCACACCTCAGGAACAAACGGGACATCTCACCTATGTTCAAAAGTGTGTAAGCATTTTGTTGATATAGGCTTACGTGCAGTGGCGAATCCAGGGGGACCCGCGACCCCCCCCCCCCCCCCCCCTGAGAAGAAAAAAACGTGTAAAAACACGTTAATTTTACCTTTTTTTTTTAGATGGTACCCCCCCCCCCCTGGCGCTCAAGGGGGTGTGCGATTATTTCAATTTTTCGAAAAGGGCCGGCACGATTTTCACATTTCAGCACACAATTGATTTCAAATGTGCCCCCCCGCCCCCCAAGAAATCCTGGATCCGCGCCTGCTTACGTGTACTGACTTAATTGAATTCATTATCATGGTCATTAGTGAAATGGCACTATAACTGTATTCCGATCTTAAAGTAACTTTAAAATGAATAACAGGAAAAAGGGAAACATGAATGGGTGCAATTAAGTCAGCAGCAATGAATAAAATTACTTAATAAAAAATGCAAATATTTCTTGGGATAAAAACCAAACGTATTAATGTTTATACACTATTATACTTTCCTGAAAGAAATAGGCAAATGCCTACATGAAAGGAAAGAATGTGGTAGCAAGTTAAAAATCGATAAACCTTGACTAAATGCTGATAAAAAAAATTAAATGAACCTGTCACCAATGAAAATAAACGGACTGAAACAGAATAACAAGTGAGAGAGAGAGTGTGTGTGTGTGTGTGTGTGTGTGTGTGTGTGTGTGTAGCAACATAACGTGGTATAACTTTGAAAGTTTGAAATAACTGTAACGGTGACATGTAATTGTATCCTCCCCCCCCCCCCCCCCCCCGATCGACCCCCATGGCACAGATTGTCGCCGGTACAATAGTTTGCAAAACCACGCACACAAACACACTGGCCGGAATTCATGAAGGACGCGTTTCGACGCTTTTTTTACAAGCCTGGTAAAAACGCGTCATATGACGCACATAAACCTAGGTTTGTCGACAAACCTCCTTTGTGAATTCGGGCCATTTTGTTCAGTTGTTTCGCCAGTTTACTCTGATGGGCGAAAGATGAAACAATTCAGTATCATTAATCGACTTTCTATGCATGGGTTCATTTTAGCGGCCTCTTAATCTCTTCCATTTCAGAATAACTTTATGAGAAGCAAAAATACAACGTTTGCCTTGTTTTGAGGTGTGCTTTGAATACTGACTGATGTAACATATCGATGAAATTGAAATGGAGAAAGAACTGTATGAAGGGATTTATTATTTAAACATTAGTGACATCACTTACGGGACAATGAATCCATATAGAATATAACCGTATTAATGAATATCATTGGTAATGTACTACTATAATACTGAAAAAGGATTAGAATCAAATCAGAAAAGTCCCGCAAAGTGATTTACATGAAAGACTTTTTTAAATAATTATTTCATGGGCTATTACAGTTGAGCTACATCGTACAATGAGCATTGGGTTGGCTGCCCACAAAATTGATGTTATTGTCATCGACATTACTAGCTCTCACGGTTTTCCTTCCGGCAGCCAACGATCTGTCGTCAAGGCTGATCTGACAGAAATTATATAATTGTGATTTTGGTTTCAATGAATAAGCAACACAAATAGAGACGGGGCTGAATAGAGGCGTCATAGAGTGTGTATAAATACAGATCAGTCCACATAATCTTGATCTGTATCAGGTCACTTCTAACCAATCTGGTAGCCATCTCTCTTCAACTGCGGTAAACAGCGGACATCATGAAGATTGTAATTCCTGTGTGTTTGGCTCTTGTGGCCTTCTTTGGGACCGTGTGAGGAACAATCATAATCATAATCATAATCTTAAAAATCCTAAAATTCCAATATCGGCCCAGCGCTCTTAACTTATTAGCATCTTAACCGCCCGAAACCCCCCTCCTTTTACTCACTGAACTGCCCGAAACCGCCCGTCCATTTTCAATGCGCTATAGTATCCGTTCTTGGGTCTACCGTGATAATGTTATAGGTGCGTAATCCTTACGATGTCTGCAGAAGGATTCTGCATAGAAAAATAGCGCATGTTTAATATTGTTCAGAACAATGTCAAAATGAAAGCAATATTGCAACATCTTCCAGTGAGTAATAGGCCAATTTTACAATATCTCAAGTTGCTAATGGCACCCCAGGCCTGTGGCACCCAGACGGATTATTATACCCGATGGTCCTAGCAAACAGAGAGTAATCATGAAATTAAGCAAACTACTACTAGGAAGAAGAAAATGAAGAACAAGGGGGAAGGAAAAGAAATATTTCAGCGATATCAGTAATTATTTTCTCTATGATCGAGGCAGGGACTTGAACATTACATGTACATACTCCGTGGCAAGAAGGAAATAAGCGAGAGAAAAGAAGGGCAATGACAAGAGAGAGAGAGAGAGAAAGAGTAGCCTATGGCCCGGGTTCAAATTAAGTTTTCTTTAATTTATTAGACCCGGTACTGATGATCATCTACATTGTATTTACCATATGATTGCCATGTGTCCGCTACATCGAATAGTACCATATATATTTCATGGGCTATTACAGTTGAGCTACATCGTACAATGAGCATTGGGTTGGCTGCCCACAAAATTGATGTTATTGTCATCGACATTACTAGCTCTCACGGTTTTCCTTCCGGCAGCCAACGATCTGTCGTCAAGGCTGATCTGACAGAAATTATATAATTGTGATTTTGGTTTCAATGAATAAGCAACACAAATAGAGACGGGGCTGAATGGAGGCGTCATAGAGTGTGTATAAATACATATCAGTCCACATATATCTTGATCAGTATCACTTCTAACCAATCTGGTAACCATCTCTCTTCAACTGCGGTAAACAGCGGACATCATGAAGATTGCAATTCCTGTGTGTTTGGCTCTTGTGGCCTTCTTTGGGACCGTGGGAGGAACAATCAGCGACGGACAAGGTAACAACAAAATTGAAGTATCTCTTGTATCTCCGTTTATCTCGTAATTGGTCGTTTTTACCTTTTCTCGACCACGCCCAAATTTAGGCCTTTACGGAATGGTAGTATGGTAGAATAGCTAGAATATTCTTGATTCCAGTGCTAGAAACATTACCTTCATAAATAAAATATAAATAATTGTCTACAAATTAGCAAGCTCTGCTAATAAAATCATATTCTGACTAACGGGGACATCCAGGTATACCGATAGCTGACAAGAGAGCTAGGAGACGGCACACAAGAAAGATGGCCGGCATAGGGGATCGTTAGTTCAGACAGTTCTACCGTATTGTCTGATTTTGTAGGTATCGTGATCTTAGCTGTGAGGAGTTTGGTTTCGATCATCTCCGACCCCCCCCCCCCCCCCATACTAAGAACTAATTTTCTTTCTTGGTCTACACTTTAGCAATGTTTTTTTTTTTTTGAGGATCTCCTACACGCAAATGATTTAGGAATATTTCAATGCATATGATTCTTATAAAGATTACACCACCCTCCAGGGACAAATAAACAAAAAATGTGAAAAAGAAAGTTGCATGAACCAGAACAGAACAAAATAGATGATTAGGTATATGTGTGTGAGACAGAAGGAAAGGGATAGAGAGAGAGAGAGAGAGAGAGAGAGAGAGAGAGAGAGAGAGGGCCAGGGAGAGAGGGACGGAGAGAGTGAGTGTAAAGTAACAATCCATGAGCAGATATTATGGCCCGAATTAGGAGGTTTGTCGACAAACCTCCTTTGTGAATTCGGGCCTGTGTGTGCGGTGCTTTGGTTTGCGTGGGTGTCCGTGTGAGAGACGGACTGGTCTCGCATGTACCCTTTGGAACGTTAAGTTTCGTGGGCTGTCTGTCTACTGGGATGACAAGTTTTAATTTCTCCCCTTCAACTAGCAGATGCAAAATGTACTCTTTGTCCCATTTTCTACAAAAATTTAAACCCGACGCTTGGCTACAAAAGAAGTTAGTCAGAGGACTTGATTGTCCTTTGTTGAACGCGAGCTTAGACCCAGTCTCGTGTTAAAAGGCAGGCGCGTAGCCAGGGGGCGGTGGGGGCGGTCGCCCCCTAAAAAAAACGCCGGCCAAAATAAAAAAAGAGAGAACAAAAGAAGAAAGGAAGAGGACGTAGGAAAAAAAAGGATTAAGAGTCGAGAACGGTACAACGAATCGTCTTCTTTCTCTAATAATTTATGAAACGTCAAAGCTTCCGCGCTTTGCGCGGGAGGGGGGGAACTGAATTCAGACAAGAATTAAGAGTCAAAAGAGAATGGTACAACGAATCGTCTTCTTTCTTTAATATTCTAATAAATCGTCAGAGCTTCCGCGCTACGCGCGGAGGAAGGGGAACTTGGTTCAAACAAGGATTAAAGGGACTACATGTATGTCCCATTTGCAGGCCAAAAAATGAAAAAGTTAAATTCCAACTGCATTTGAAAGATAAAACTTATTTAGAACTTTCCTAAAAAAGGTGGTGCTTGAAAATGTCTTCAAGTGGGAAAATAACAACTATTAGTTGTCAAATCGACTTTAGGGCTATAGAGCCCAAAAGTATAGTCTTGATTTTCAGACAATTGTACCGAATGGTCATACGTTATATGCTGCGCAAAGATTCAATCAGTTTAATCTTGGTCATCACAAGAAGTGGGTTATTGATGTAGACAAATGCTCATGTACCCTTTACAACTCTTTTCATGTATGTTATTACCAAAGAATGAAAAAAGCCAGCCAGTCACTCAATAGTGTCTGACAGTGAAGTCCAGCAAGTAAACGGGTTTACTTGCATAATTTGAATATGAGGACACTGCTAATGTTTAAATTTTACAGATAGGACATACATGACATATTCATAATTCCTGCAAAGTTCTACAGAATTTGAGGTTGGCTGCAAAAGGGACATAGTACCTTTAAGAGTCGAGAACGGTACAACGAATCGTCTCCTTTCTCTAATGAAATGTCAAAAGAAACTGAATTTAGATAAGGACTAAGAGTCGAGAACGATCCAACGAATCGTCTTCTTTCTCTAATAATTTAATGAAACGTCAAAGCGTCAAAACGTCAAAACGTCAAACTCCCCCCTCCCTGCACCCACCCCCTAAGGAGCGCGCTACGCGCGCTCTGTATACGATTCGCACGCTTCGCGTGCTCACTACCGCCCCCCTAAAATGAAATCCTGGCTACGCGCTTGTTAAAAGGGATATAGTTGAGTTCTTGTTTAAAACCAACAATGCCTTCAAAGTGCATGGTTATTGCTCCTATTTTTATTTATGATATTTCAAGTGCCCTTTTAGAACCTCAAGTTGCTATGAAGGAAATTTTAGACCCTAAAATGTGTGAATTTAGATTGAATACGATCATACCAATTCAGCTCCACTTTTAAAAAATACGGTGACCGTTGATTAATTAATTAATAATACACGTAAAAGCCAACAAAAAGCATATAATGTCAACACATGAGTGGCTCAGAGTTCAATCCTTGGGCCCCTCCTGTTTACAGTCATGATAAACGATCTTCCCACGCATATAAGTAAAGGGAATGTTTATATGTACGCGGATGACACGACAATATCCGTTTATGGAAACAATCCAACAGATATTGAAATCCAGCTTAACAATGTAATGCAAGAAGTAAATGAATGGGTTGACAGAAACAAGCTGATCCCCAATCCAGAGAAAACCAAAGTCATGCTAATAGGCTCAAGACAAAAATCACATCGATTTTCAAATCTAAAGTTGCATGTTACATTAAAAGGTAAATCTGTTGAATGTGTTGATGAATCTAGGTGTTTAGGTGTAACCATAGATTCTAGCCTTGACTTTAAGATACATACTGAAAAGGTGTCTATAAAGGTGAAACAAAAGCTAGGTGTAATAAGAAGATTAAAAACATATTTTTCTACTAAACAATTATCTGATATATATTGGGGGTACATTATACCCCATGTTCTTTGTTGTTGTAATGTATGGCCGCGCAGAAGTGTCGGGAATTTCAATACCTTAAACAAATTACACAAAAGAGCTGCCTACATAGTATCAAATAAGTCATGGGATATACCGTCCCTGGATGTATTACAGTCACTATGCTGGCCAACTCTTGATAAGTTGTTCTGGAAAACAATGTGCTGTTTAGTGTATAAATATGTAAATAGAATAACACCCGGAATCGTTCATGACAGATTTATACTCGTCGACGATGTTTCAAAACGAATAACTCGCAACACAGATATTAAGAATATGTTGCGATTGCCCAAATGTAAAACAGAATTTTACAGGAAGTCATTCATTTATTCAGGGAGTGAAATTTGGAATGAGCTTCCACTTGAACTTAAAGAAGCACAGAACCTAGCAGTCTTTAAGAGAGCTCTAAACGAAAATCTTACATGATACGGTGTTCTTCTGCATAGTTGATTTTTATCATGATCTATAATGATTCAGTTTGTATCATGTTACTTGACTCCATTTTACAATGCTTACAATTATCATTAATTAACTGTTGTTCTTTTGTGAAATATTATATTCAGTTAATGTATTCCTATGTTTTGGTTTAATTTATTTTCATAGTTGATTTTATTATTGTCTATTCAGTTTTTGAAATGTTACTTTACTCCATTATCATACAATGCTTAATTTATTTTCATAGTTGATTTTATCATTGTTTATTCAGTTTTAGTCATGTTACTTGACTCATTACCATACAATGCTTACAATTATCATTAATTAACTGTTGTTCTTTTGTGCAATATTATATTCAGTTAATGTATTCCTATGTTTTTGTTCAATTTATTTTCATAGTTGATTTTATCATTGTTTATTCAGTTTTAGTCATGTTACTTGACTCATTTCCATACAATGCTTACAATTATCATTTATGAACTGTTGTTCTTTTGTGTATATTATACTCAGTTAATGTGTTCCCATGTTTTTGGTCAATTTATTCAGTAGTTGATTTGTATTATTATCTAAACCATGCATACATTGTGTTAAATGTTTTATAATCCGATATTCTACAGTTCTAATTGTAATTCATGTATTTTTTCATGTGCTGTTTTTAAAATCAGGACTCTGTGGAAGTCCAGGTTTTTATTTTTTTGTATAATGAACAGAATACCCTGAATAAAGAAGTGAAATAAATAAAAATAAAAAATAAATAATTATTGGCATTGGCTGGAATAAAACGTAAAAGGCGTTTTTCAACGGCTGGTTCAAAATTACCGAATATTTGTGGGGCAACACAAATATTAGAAATGGTTATATTTACGGATATTTCAGTCGTCTCTAAACCGATTTCGATCAAACAAAGATGATTTTGTCCTTTAAATTGTATATATTCCTTCAAATTTGAAACTCAGTTTCCATTATCTCACCCAAAAATTATTTTGTGTAGAGCCCTCTGCAACAAAACTCAACTATCCCTTCAACGGAATTTAATTAGTAGATTGCAGACCAAAGATTCCATTTATTGTTATTAACATGTTCTAACCCGTCTCATTATGTAGTGTACAAACATGATTTTCCTCCTATAAAAATATAACACGTAAATTCTATTTTTTCTCTCAATTTGTCATGATACCCAGTTCGCCTAAATAATCAAGGTGATATGAACACCAACGGAGGAATTCTGGAGGTCTACTACCAGGGAGAATGGGGCAAGGTGTGTCCCAGTGGTTACTGGAACTCAAATGCCGCCACTGTAGTGTGTCGTCAGCTCGGCTTCGCTGCTACCGGTTATGTCTTTAACCCATCAGACTTCGTAGATCCCGACTCGGACCCCAATCAAAAAGTCTGGATGGATAACGTAAGCTGCACAGGCGACGAACAAACCATCGTAGGTTGTTTTTCCGGGGAGATGGTAATGACTACATCTAGCTGCTCTGGGGACGTTGCTGCTGTCCTTTGCGGAGGTAAAATATAAATTGGTTCATTTTCATAGAGGCGGATTAGGTTTAAGTCGAAGTGTACACGAGGCGTTATTTGATTTGCGCCATTCAAGGACATCCAGACATGTACATACACTGCACAGGTCCAGGCAAATTCCCTGGCCTCAGACGCAACCCCCTAAAGCAGGCTGGGATGTCGTAGCGCATGACCTAATAGACGGAAAATTGAAGTAACAATCTACACAAACAATTGAGTTCATACAGACAATTTGCGTGACAACTCCGAGGACAGTTGTAACTATCTATAAGAGCACAATAGTGTTCACTGCTTACTGGCGGTAGTTGATTTACGTGCCTGTGTGCGCATGAGGTTTACTTTCATGTATGAGCGACAAGTTTAATGCTCTAAGTCTAATATTCTTTTCCTCCTCATTTCGTAACTTGATAATTATAACCTTAATAAAGGAAATGTGTCCAGTCATGAATTCAAAGCTAAAACATAATTTCATAGTCACAAAACTCTTTTTATTTGTCTATATAGTTTATAAATGGTCATTTTTACGAGGTGTAGAGATCGACCCTTGGAGACACATCCGTTTAATGAACCGGGAGCGAACTTTGACTGGAATTCAGTCTGGGGAATTCAGTATGATTATATAGCACGACGTACGCAAAAGTTTGGCATTTATCTGCTGTTTGGTTGATATATTGTTGTTTTCGCTCTTTGTTGTTTTACACAGTCGAAAAGAAGGAGGTAGGCGACAACGATGATCTCTTCAAGCTTAAAGTTCGAGCAGTCGAACTTCTCCTTGACCTCCTACGGGGGACCAAGAAGTAGATAGCCTCACTTTGACAACAGATGACGAAAAATCTGACCGAGAAAATAATTCAGCCTGGATAAATATCACTAATTATATTCGATAATTCTCCGAAAATTATGAGTTAACATCAAATTATTCTAAACATTATAATTCAATTTTAATTTTGAGAGAATAATGTGAGATGTTCAATTTGATACGGAAACTTAATAATACTCACAGTAAACGCTGGTGGCAGGCTATGGGTTCTTGACCCGGAAATGTTTTAATCGTGATATTTTATATATATTCTTTAGAATCTTTGAATGACGTGATATGCTATTGCTTGTAGGGTATTGAGAATTAAATGGAAATAGTCATACTTGAGGGAGGGGTTACACTAGTTTCAAGTCATCTCAGTTAAAAAAGTGGGCATACATGTAAGTGACTGTATAATCGTATTTTATCCAATGACATACATTAAAGGGACTATGTAATATTGTTCAAATGAGAGAAAATGATGCTAAGTTAATATCCTCAGTTTTAGATGGACAATTAAAGATAATCTGAAAGTTTGAGTAAAAATAGACCAATATTAATGATAACAATCGGGCAAAATTGATCTGATCGATTACATAATTCTCCAAACTATAGTATTACAATTAAGTTACCATTAAGGTGAATGTAAATCATCACAAAGCAATGAATTGATTCTATATACCATTCCAGACAATTAAGTTTTGAAAGATTTTTCAAGCCGGTCTTATGTCTTATTTTCATGGGGAAATGGTTGGGAGAATTTACTGGTAGAAGGTGTCGCACATCAAAGAAAACCATAAATATCTTTGTGATTTGAGATTTTTTTTTCAGGATTCTTTGCATGTCTGAGGGATAGTACAGTAAAAGTAATATAATAAGTAAAATTTCTTCAAAATTTACGTAGTTTTTTCATCAAACTTCAACAATGTTACCGAGTCACTTTAAGTGTATGTCATAGGCCTATTGTTTTGGCGGACTAAGTTGGGTCGAGGTGTGCGTTTGTTTAAGCTACGGTAGGAATGTAATTCAGTAATGTGAGTTTTTAACTATTTTTAGCATTAGAGAAATCAGTTCAGACGTGTAAGAACATAGTTTAGAATATGCATGGGCAGGTGTTCACTGTAGGTTTTCATTGAGTATTAGATATACAATCTTATTGTGTTACCGTATAACTGACACATTTTTATATTTTAATATACGCAGAGATTACATTGATTGCAATCAATAAATCCTTAAAATCCTTGAATTTATGGATCCTTAAAATAAATCAGCCAATAAATAGAAACAGCACTACACCGACACCTGATTGATTGATTTGTTTTAATTTTGTTTGGGGGGAGGGGAGGTAATATTGTTTGATGTGTATCCCTATCTCTACCCTTTATTTTACCCGAATTCCGTACTACTGTTCCCCTCAATAATAAAATTATTTAAATCGTTAATTCTCACATCATGACACACACACAAGCGTCCACACGGAAGGAAAGAGAGAGAGAGAGAGAGAGAGAGAGAGGAGGAGGCGGAGAGAGATAGAGAGAGACAGAGAGAGACAGAGGGAGACAAAGAGATATTCAGATTGATATTTGAATAGTAATCTTCGTAGATGTAATACTAGAGTGCTTCCTAAATATCATTGCAGTTAGTTTGGAGATCCGATATTATTTTGCTCCAACTACAATAATTGCTCCGGGCTTCATTTCTTAAAAAGTATAGGGTCTGGTTAGGGTTGCAGTTTGGTTTGAGATAGGGTTAGGGGTTTTGAATAGACAAAGCATGGATATAGGTAACTAGTATATCCATGGTTGAAGTTAGTAGTTCGGTTCCTGTTGGAATCTAGTGCCATTGATATACTAGCGACCGTGAAACCATTGTTGCAGGGGCAAGTATCGTAACATTAAGTTTATGGTTTAAGAGCTTATTCGTTTTATTTCTCAAGAGAATGAGAGATGCCAATCAGTTTATGCATACTCATTTCAGTTCCTTCTTGGTAGCAGAGGCGGTGATCACCGGGGGTGGGACCCCCCCCCCCCCCCCCCACTTTTCCAAATACCCCCAAAGTTCCCCTTGTTATATAGGAAACGTGCCCCCTTTTAATTGAGATAAGTGCCCCTTTTCATAATAAAGGTGTTCTTGGCACGTTCTTATAAATGCCCCTTTTTCAACTTTTTGACCTTTTCTAAGTGTCCTTTTCCCTTCTGATAAGCTCTCCCTTTTCCTGCGTTGTCTCAAGTCCACCCCGATTGTCCACGGTGGCCTGAAACGTGACTGACGTGTCTGCAGGGAACATAATGTAAACCTAGCATTATATGCTGCCCTCTCCAGGTTGCACCGATCTTTCGACCGCTTTTAATTTTCTCCTGGTGTTTTATAATTTTAAGGTTACTGTATTATTGTTTTATGTGGTTTTTACATCTAATTTGTTAACTCAACAATAAATTGTCTCGTATGTATAATATGTATGATACTTTATATTGTTTGGATTATTTTTATCCGGGGTCCTCAAGGACAACAGTTTTTTTTTTATTGAAGAGGCAACCTTGTTTAAATAAAACTGAAAATAAATAAATACAAAATTAAATAAATTTAAAACGCATCAGGATTTGTTTCCCTCATTATAAGATGTAATTTTTCGTACTGCTACCTCACAAATCTTAAACATTTAATAATATTCACGCCATCACACCCAACTTCAAAGTATGATGCCTAAGCAGTATCTTGGACAATGTTAGAAATAAATACTAAAATAATCCCTGATAATGTAATAAAAAATTTAGGGGTATATTCCAACTTCCAATAATTGCATATTTTTGCCTAGAGGTTTCCCTTTGTAGGGGCCCCTTTTCCCAGAAAGTGTCTTTCTTGTTGGCGCCCCCTCCCCACTTTGGAAGGCACTCCGCTGTCCCTGGTTGTATACTCTATATATTATATACTCTGTATACTTTAAAATCACCTTTTAATGCTTCTTGTTCTGAGAGAACAAATCTGCTATCCAAGTTTAAAAGAAGGTTGAGTTCTGCTATAAAGGTGATAAAATAATTTTTGATATATATTTAAAATTTTCCAATTGTTTTATGTAAGCTTGAAAGAAAATCATTGAAGAAAGTCTCCTGAAAATGATTGCGCTTTAAATGTCCTCATGGTCAAAGTATGACAATAAATAGCTGAAATATTTGGACCCAACTTTCATACCATATGATCGGGTAATCCCTTTATACAGACCTATTTCAGTGAACAGTGGATGCGACTTTATAAGCAAGGTTTAGTCAATTTAATATAAGTATTTCTTATTGGCTTACAAAATCAAAATTTTCGCATTGCTTTCATAGTTTCTTTCACAATACAATCTCATGACCAGAACTCAAGTTTATCCTTCAACATAGTACCCCTGGGCGGGCCTTCATACAAGATTAAATTGCATCAGGAGGCTCGTTTGGCTTGACCGTATCTTGTCTAAACCTGATTTAGGTCCATATAGAATTATACATCATCGCCATAGACTGGATTATACCCGTCCATATATCAGATGAAATAAATATTCATTATTTCCTGGGCTTTTCTTCCTCAAGGGTCAGCACGGAAAAGGGTATAAAAATGCATAGTATGATTCTTTATTTTGATTTATTCATGAAGAGAAGGTAAAAACACTTTCACAATCAATCATTTTATATTCATTTGATCGATTCAACGGAGCTTTGTTTGCTCTATCACTCTTTAACTAGTTTCGGTGTTTAATTGTTTTTTTTTTCATATATAGTTATAGGTGAAAAGTGAAAGGTGGTGGTGGTTATTTTACCTGACTGCAAAAAAAGCATAAATGCTTGTAAGTAAGCAACCAGACGGCCGACAGCTGTAGGCAGGCGCGGATCCATGATTTCTGAGGGGCAGGCGCCTAGCCACGGGGGGCACGGGGGGGGGGGGGCACATGCCCCCCTAAAATTTCCAAGATCGGTTGATTTTTTTTAGACCCCTTTTTTGACCTCGATCGATTACATGTAAGTGCCCCCCCCCCCCAAACATCGAACTCTGGCTACGCGCCTGCTGAGGGGAGGGGGCCCAAATTTGAAATCCATTTGAAATTTAGTGTGTTTAAATTAGATTTTCATGCCGGCCAATAATTTGCTCAGTAGGGGGGGGGGGGGCGGTAGTGAGCACATTTTTTTGGCCCTCGAAAATTTGAAATTTGTAACCCCCCCCCCCCCCCCCCTTGAGCGACAGGGGGGCCATCTCCAAAAAAGTAAAATTAACATGTTTTTTTTCCCAGGAATGGGGGGGGGGGGTATTTGTTTAAATAAGATCTTTAAAATACACCGTTTCAGGCTGTTCGTATACTGCATGGGCGGTTCTACGACACCTACCCCCTGGACATTCACCAAATGTTTAATTTTAAAAGTCATAATACTCCCTAATATAATACGTCCATCACCTACCTTATGGCAACCAGATAGATCTTTATACCCGAGGGGCATAGAAAACAGAAAGTATTCATTTGAAATTATGCAAACTTTTTTTCAATTCATCAAATTGTAAACAAATTGTACACAATATAAGCAAACAGGAGAACCTCCTAGAAATCCAAGGCTCACAGATTTTAAATGATATCCTGGCAAAAAGTATACACCAAATCGCACGAATTGAGTTTGAAAAATAGATTTTTCTTCAGCTTCGGAGGGGGGAGGGGGCGCGTTCCCCTTCAGACTCCCCCTGTCCACGCGCTAACGCGCCGCTAAATATTTTCTCACTAATTGGGTCATTAGATCTTATTTTGATCTGAAAAATTTCCAGCGCAAAAAAAGAAATGTCCAATAGAAATCTGTTCGAGAAAAGACATCTCTAAATCTCCAGCGGTGAGACAATAACAAGCACAATTTAAGACCAATCTAATACGTGTACATATAGTGACAGCCACCACCACCCCATATTACACTAAACTGCATATGCCCTCAATTGGTTTAACCTACTATACGCCATGTACAAAAAAGTGAGGGTATCATTCGAGGCTTCTTGATCCATTACACATGCACCGAGGAGGACAATGCAGATACTGAGACTTTTGAAAAGGAAACCTATATCGAAGAAATGTGTGAGTTCTAAGTTTTATTAAGCTAATGATTTATTCAGATTCTAAAGGACTGTGGGGGAGGAGAGAGAGGGGGTCGAGGGGGCGAAAGGGCATTTAAAGGGAAGAAATATTAATTCGTTTTATATATTATACATCATTCGAATGTCCTATTAAAATAAAAATCAGTTTTGTCAACCAGAGAATTTTAAAATTCTTATGGCGTTAATGGAATTCTTATCACTGTCTTTACTTACTGTGACATAAATGTGTACTCGTCCTTTTACTACGATTTCATCAACGCTATTATTATCATTTTTAATGTTTATTTACTCAACAATGAGTTGAACGCTCTTACATTAATACCTTAATTCTATGGGAGCTAAAAAAAAGTCAAGGAAAAAAGTAACATATTTACGTGTCGTTCCGTAAGGCAGAACAACGAAATGAGTGTCTTTTTAAACATTCGTCTTAGTCTTCGACACTGTGCTGGCTGAAACGCATAAAATAATAATGTAGTATGACCAAAGCGGTGGGATTGTCTATGCTCCTTGGTATGGCGGTATGTGTGGATGAATGTTCATATCAGATGTTCTTTGCTATATTATTGGTAATTAATTTAATTAAATCGAATCAAATCCAGTGATACTCGGGATGTCCTAATTAACCATGTCGTTATCGGAAATCGGTATCATCATCATCGTCGTCATCGTCCTCTCTACATCATCATCATCTTCACCATCATCATCATCATCGTGATCATTCTCGTCCTCATCATCATTATCACCACCACCATTATCATCGTCTTTTTATTCCCCTTTCATCCCCTGTCAGGCATCATGGATGTTTTCTTCAAAGCAGATGGAGTTACAGGAGTAAGGCGCATGTTCTATGCGGTAACACCAAATGAAACATCGTTTCAAACATTGGATGAAGTTCCCGAATACATTATAGAGGTGAGGCTTGTGTAATTGTAGAGTGCATGATTTATGTGCACATTATTTCAATGAGTGGAAGCGAGAACAACCATGCGAGAACAACTTAATCTCCCAACTCTTGAAGAAAGAAGAAAACGGGCACGATTGTCAAATTGAATGTTCTACAAGATAGCAAATAACAAAATTGCGATACCAATACCGGATTACATCAAATCGAAGGAGCGAACTACAAGAAGGAGTCAACAACAACGATATATGAGACTAGGCTCTTCAATGGACACTTACAAATTTAGTTATTTTCCAAGGACACTTAAGGACTGGGACGAGCTACCTCAGATCATCGTTGAACTGCAATCTTTGGAGCAGTTCAAGATGGCTCTTGAAACAATTAAGTTCCCTTTTTGATTTGATTTGATTTGATTTGATTTGATTTATTTCTGTTTGATTTTCTTTTTCTTTTGCATTTTTACAAGTATAATAACAAACAAATATTGCACATTTACACATGACAAAAGAATATATGTAGAATAAAGTAAGTAAGGCTGGAACTGTACCGCTTAGAACTGTATATAACAACTCTATGCTTTAGCCTCATCTAGATGCTGAAAAGGTGTTGATGAGTATTACCATAGAAGTAGAAGGAAAAGCACTTGTCTTATAGTTTTGAAGGGGCTTGCCTGTCATGCGAGCGGTCTAATTTCGATCCCTGCTTGTTCCTCGCATCCTTGGTATTTTTCCCGTGTTTGTCGCTCTTGACTCGGGTTTTGGGAACATGGCAATGCTGGGGTGATACTGGAAGAACCGTAATAATACTGATCTTGCTACTTTGTATGGGTAATACGACCACAACAGTCTACTCAATACAAGTATGAAATCATTTTTTGACATACCAAATGTGCTAACTGCATGTTATTTTTTTGTAACTACACTAAAGGTCATGAATTACCTCGACATTGGTAATATTTCTAGGATAAATACTGAATCTATTTTAATCGAACTTATTTTTACCTTACAGAATCTTTACACTACTAATGGTCCACAGACAACAAATAAAAGAAAAAGTAACATAATTATTCCTACATTTCAAATAATAATAACCAACTTTAAGCATTGTATAAAACACGAAAAATCCTTCGTGATTTAATAATTTTACACCTCGGTATTCATCCTACATTTTCAATGGTTGCAGGCAGCATCGTTTTTCATCATCTCCGTGATCATTGAAGAGATCTACCTGAGATTCAAAGATGGCGGAAAAGAAGACAGATTTGCAGACAGCATCACTTCCATGATAGCTGGCATGTTTATGGTTATAACAGGGTAAAATAATCTCTTCTTTATGCTAGTAAATTCAGATTACTTTAGCGTGTTTTCGGCATAACGTAGAAGTAGTTTTTACCATGTAACCGTTGGGGGAAAAAGTATTGCCCAGGTGAGTGCTGCTGAAGCCTCCGAACTCCTAACCATTTTTGATATTAAGGATCATTTTGGTAGCATCAGTGAGAATTTTGGAAGAAAAAGCAAAATAATTTCAATTATTTTTGCATCTGAGATTTTCACTTTAGCTAGAATCTGGTGAAGGAATCATTCTGAAGAAAAAAGGTAAACCATGTTTAAGACCAAGATCTAAATGTGAGACTATCTTTACCATACCCTATGTTTAATTTTGTTTTTCTTCAAAAAGCGACCCATTAGAGCCCCACATCCCGTATGCGTTATTAGGCGAGTAAGTTCGTGCCGGTGGATAACACACACCAGTATGTCTGTATTTCAAATAGGATAATGTCTGTATTTGAAGTTTATTTCTCATCGGCAGTTTGTACAACGTACAATATTTTCAGTTCATTTTGTATGCATACTCTGGACAGATCCTAGGTAATTGGTCATTTGGTGTCCAAAACGTTACCAATTAAGTATTGATATCAATAACTTAACATCAAATCTAAGCTTTAGTAGAGCTATCGACTGCATGCAATAATCAACATCTTTAAGTACAGACAAAATAACTTGGACTTGTCCATATAATAAATCAATAATATTGAAGACCCATGCTTCAAACCGTACAGCTGGATAAAGTCATCACCTACATGACAACAACGTTTCAATTAGGTAAATGAAAATGGACATTTCGATTTCCTGGTGCTACGTTGCGTAGACCTTCAATGATTAAAAAGTAGATTTTGTTAGTTTGTGAATCCCCAAATCTCATATTCCTTCGTCCTAATGCAGATTATTTACCAAGGCTATGGAGCTAGGTATCTATGTCTACGTCTTTGAGAACTTCTGCATCTATGAGCTTCCATGGGATAGCCCTTGGACATGGTTCTTCAGCTTTCTTGGTATCGATCTTGGGTATTACTGGTTTCATCGCATGTCACATGGTATGATTAAAACGGCTTGGAGAAAACGTTTGGCGAAGGCAATGCCTGATATATATATATATATATATATATATATATATATTGTAATCTGTCTTGTCTACTGACTTGAATTATATATATATATATATATACATGTGGGTGTCTGGGTGTGAGAGTTTTTAAATATCGTGGTAAGAAATTCTTAACCATTTAAGAAGAGAATCAATTAGCATTACTTATTTCGGTTTACCGCCTTCCAGAAATACTGGTTTTACTCTGAGAATCAATTATCATTACTTATCTCGGTTTACCGCCTCTCAGAAATACTGGTTTTAGTCTGAGAATCAATTATCATTACTTATCTCGGTTTACCGCCTCGCAGAAATATTGGTTTACTCTTGCAAATTATTTCTGTATATCATTGTCAGTGTGAATTCCTGTTTTCAAATGAAATATATATCCTCAGGTTCTACATATGATATGTAACAAATAATCACACTATTAAATACAAAAGATGAAAGTATATTTTTTTAAATAATAAATATAGAATGTATCACGCGTTTAGAAACGTCATTAAATCAAATTTAGCATTATTTTGGCTTAACTGTTGTAGTTTAGTCATAAATGCTCTTTCATTGTGTGGCAAAAAAAACAACTAAAACTGAAATGGCTCCCACCCCTTTGACACAATCTTGAATTGAGTTTTCCTGTTGTAGTTAGGACCCTTAGCTATCAGTGTGCGTTTGTTTGAGTTGTGGTGGGTGTGACCGCTAGGGCTGTTACCATAGTAACGGATCAAGAACGTAATAATTTTAGAAAATGTCATGTATTTGTAATTTAGAAACAGTTTTTAAAACTGTTTTTACACTTTCTAATTTACAAATACACGAGTTTGAAGTAATAAATTATTACTTCAAACTCATAATAAAGATTATATCAATTAAAATATCTTCATCAGATAAAACATATTTGGTCTAAAAAAATTAATTGAATCAAAAATGAAAGTTTACATTCTTTTAAAATTTTGAAACAAAAATTTCATTTTTAGTTGTAAAAAATATGCATGGCATCCACCCCTATCTTATTTGTTGGTATTTTTTGCAAGAGTTTTAGCTTGGATGCCGTGCATGACCCCCAAAGTGCCGTCCAAGGTAAAACAACGAACCACGTCTTGACTGGTCTACTATTACCTGTACTCGCCCTAATTCTTTTTCCATCTTGTAGAAGTGAATATCCTGTGGGCAGCTCACCAAGTTCACCATAGCTCAGAAGAATTCAACTATACCACAGCATTGAGACAGTCTATCTTCGAAAAATGCTATAGTTGGGTGTGTTTTATACTAATTTAATGTGTATTCCAATGGATGAAAATGTAGATGACCCATGTGCTATGAACATGCAGCGGTCAATAATACACAAAGCTGAAAATCCTTTCCATCTCACTTTCCGTAACCATGATGTTGGTAGCATACATGTTTATTATATATATTAGATCTAAATTTATATATCTACTGTCATTAGACTGAAAATATTCGAAATAATTATATGTTCAACCTTTTCGAAATATTACAACCTGGCGTTGGCCATATTAAGTTGAATTCGGATTTTGACAGTTTTGCTATACATGTATAGGACTATTCACCTAAATCTCATAATTATACCGGCATTCTCAAAAAAATTAGTATATTAAATTCGACTCTGTCCTACGAAATATATCTTTTTGTAGTAACGTTAGTAATAATATTTTAATTTGTATTATGAAACCTGAATTCATTGTTACAAAGTGTTAACATACTAATAACTTCATTGTAATATCCCACACAGCTTTTTTACATTCCATTGGCTTTCTTTGCCCCACCTTCTTCGATGCTTGTGCACAGTCAATTCAATACACTGTATCAGTTCTGGATACATACAGAGGTAAATCATACTAATATGCATTCGTATTACACATCAAGATCATAGTTCGATGCGTAAAACTGATATTCATTTGTATTACAAATCAGGATCATAGTTTGATGCTTAAAACTGATATTCATTTGTATTACATATCGAGATCATAGTTTAATGCGTAAAACTGATATTCATTCGTATTATAAATCAAGATCATTGTTCGATGCGTAAAACTGATATTCATTTGTATTACAAATCAAGATCATAGTTCGATGCGTAAAACTGATATTCATTTGTATTACAAATCAAGATCATAGTCCGATGCGTAAAACTGATATTCATTCATATTACAAATCAAGATCATAGTTTAATGCGTAAAACTGATATTCATTCGTATTATAAATCAAGATCATTGTTCGATGCGTAAAACTGATATTCATTCGTATTACATATCAAGATCATAGTTCGATGCGTAAAACTGATATTCATTCGTATTAGAAATCAAGATTATAGTTCGATGCGTTAAACTGATATTCATTCGTATTACAAATCAAGATCATAGTTCGATGCGTAAAACTGATATTCATTCATATTACAAATCAAGATCATAGTTTAATGCGTAAAACTGATATTCATTCGTATTATAAATCAAGATCATTGTTCGATGCGTAAAACTGATATTCATTTGTATTACAAATCAAGATCATAGTTCGATGCGTAAAACTGATATTCATTTGTATTACAAATCAAGATCATAGTTCGATGCGTAAAACTGATATTCATTCATATTACAAATCAAGATCATAGTTTAATGCGTAAAACTGATATTCATTCGTATGACAAATCAACATCATAGTTTGATGCGTCAAACTGATATTCATTCGTATAACAAATCAAGATCATAGTTCGATGCGTAAAACTGATATTCATTCGTATTACAAATCAAGATCATAGTTCGATGCGTAAAACTGATATTCATTCGTATTACATATCAAGATCATAGTTTAATGCGTAAAACTGATATTCATTCGTATTACATATCAAGATCATAGTTCGATGCGTAAAACTGGTATTCATTCGTATTAGAAATCAAGATTATAGTTCGATGCGTTAAACTGATATTCATTCGTATTACAAATCAAGATCATAGTTCGATGCGTAAAACTGATTTTCATCCGTATTACAAATCAAGATCATAGTTCGATGCGTAAAACTGATATTCATTCGTATAACAAATCAAGATCATAGTTCGATGCGTAAAACTGATATTCATTCGTATTACATATCAAGATCATAGTTCGATGCGTAAAACTGATATTCATTCGTATTAGAAATCAAGATTATAGTTCGATGCGTTAAACTGATATTCATTCGTATTACAAATCAAGATCATAGTTCGATGCGTAAAACTGATATTCATTCGTATGACAAATCAACATCATAGTTTGATGCGTCAAACTGATATTCATTCGTATAACAAATCAAGATCATAGTTCGATGCGTAAAACTGATATTCATTCGTATTACAAATCAAGATCATAGTTCGATGCGTAAAACTGATATTCATTCGTATTACATATCAAGATCATAGTTTAATGCGTAAAACTGATATTCATTCGTATTACATATCAAGATCATAGTTCGATGCGTAAAACTGATATTCATTCGTATTAGAAATCAAGATTATAGTTCGATGCGTTAAACTGATATTCATTCGTATTACAAATCAAGATCATAGTTCGATGCGTAAAACTGATTTTCATTCGTATTACAAATCAAGATCATAGTTCGATGCGTAAAACTGATATTCATTCGTATTATAAATCAAGTTCATAGTTTGATGCGTCAAACTGATATTCATTTGTATTACATATCAAGATCATAGTTCGATGCGTAAAACTGATACAAATATATATTTCCCTCATTTTTTCACGTCTGTAGAGCCCCAAATTATTTTTGAATTGGATTCATTTCGGTAGGACCGAAAGGAAGAAAGCGGAAGAAAATAAAGGGCTCTGATTGGCTGACAGAAATAAAGGGAAACTATAAACGTAATATGAGCCATTTTATGTGGAAAGTTCTCATTCATAATCATAATCATAATCTTATAGCCAGGTGCGGTACTAGAAAGTGATTGGGGGAACCTTGGATGTGCCTAGCTTAAATTCATCTATAACCAGTGATTTAAATTCATCTTCTGCTCCTAGATCATCAAGAATCTGGGACCATTGGAGTATGTTCTGAACACGCCAAGTCATCATCGTGTTCATCACGGTAAGCTTATACATGTAGAACTATCGTGGAAAACTCATTAAATGAAAAATGATAATAAATAATGATGCTCTTTGTCTTATTAGCATGTATTCATATCAAAATGTATAATAATACTGTTAATAAGATGATGACGGGGATCTTAATCAAGTGATTGGGTGAGAGCGTACACGTGACCAGGCATTTATTTTGCCTAACGCGTAATTTGGATAATGACCGGTCATTATCCAATTCTAATGACGGGTCATTAGTAAAATCATGGTATAAAACATCATTTTTTTATAAAAAATCAAACATAATCTTATAAAACAAATAATACACAGCATTTTGTTCAGGCATTAGTAAAAATTACCCAGACTCGGTACCTTCAAAACAGTTCAAACACCCTCGGCTACCGCCTCGGGTGTGGGTAATTCTTACTAATGCCTTCATTGCTGTGTATTATTACCCTTAGGGTCCTGCAATCCGGTATTATTACCCCAGCTATATAGCCGATCTATATTGTATTTATTTCCTCATCAGGTCGTAACCGATACTGTATTGATAGGAATTATGCTGGAACACTCATCATCTGGGACAGGATATTTGGTAAAGCAAACTTATTTATTTAAAAAGTAATCAGTAAATCAAGAATTTGATAGCACATTTTCTTTCTAATTATCAACATGGTCGACAATATCCTAAAGATTTTGTTGTTTTAGGTTATGATATTTCGTAATAAATAAGAAAAGTCCTTAAAAATAAATACACTGTCATTTCAACGAATGCCACTTATAAATGTACTCGTAATTGTCGATGATGCCAATTTGCGCTGGCGACGATTGCTCCGGCCTCTTTGGTCAAAGCCTGATCATTGTTAGGGCTGCAGTCGAGTTTTATATTTGGCCTAGGCCGCTTAGGGTTAGGTTTAGGTATAGCTTTGGACCAAGGTTGTCGCCGGGGCTTTCTTCGTAGGTTACAGTCCTAATATCTGGGCCTACAGATTCGTCTTAAGGAAAAATGTGCGCTCTATTTGCCTATGCTACAGAATAATACAATCATTTCTCATTATTTCAGTAATTGATATTTAGCATTGGTTATTTTCTAGGAACATTTGAGACAGAGAATGATATAGTTGCATATGGTCTGGTTCACCCTCTCACCACATACAATCCTATCTCAGTGCAGGTGGGTGTTTTGTTCATTACAATCATATCGTACTTTTATACTTATTTTCTTCATTGTAAGTAAAATGCTGGAACTATATTTTCGGTGTTGCTTTCATCCTTGATTTTGCATGGCAAGTACTCTTCAAACTCATTGAAGCGAAGGTCAAAAGAGAGAAAATTATGAAATGAAATCCGAATAAGGTCTATTCAATGAAGTAGTGACATGTGCTGGTAAAACTAGTAACTAGTAACTTTGTTCACAGTACTCAGGAAGCGGAATATTGAAAAAGAGGGTAGGGGATGAAGCATTTTGGAATGCTTAGCCAAAAGGATATCCTACATCCCCCCTTTTGTTTCAATCCCAACTATACCCTACCTACTGTTTTCCCGTTCTACATTGTTTCAGTTATGTCATCTTCAGTGGATGTGGAGCGTGTTTTGGACTACTCCTGGTCTGATGAACAAAGTCTTTGTTATCTTCAAGGGACCAGGTTGGCAACCAGGAAAACCAAGGACTGGACTCATTGAAGATATACCTGATGTAATTAGATAAGTCTCTAATGCTGTACATGAATTTGAGATTTGCCCATAATGTTTTGTAGTTGAGTTTTTTTAAACACCTGTTTTATTGAAGATATACCCGACGTATGATAACTATTCTACAAAAACACAAAATTATTACAATTGTAATTTCTTATATCCATGTTCGAAGAATAACAGCGAATACAGAGATACACAAGCTGTATGTCTTGCAATCATCAGAGTTTATCCCAAGAATATTATTAAGCAGAAACCCCCAAATCGGGCGGAAAGAAGCAAAGCGCCCGAAAAAATGGGCTCCATCATTGCATAATACTCTAAGCCAAATAATATGAAGAAAACCTACAGGTACAATCAGAGGCCCATTGAGGAGGCATTGGAAGGATTGGGCCCGACCGGTCTTACTCAGAAAATGTAAATAATGCGAATTTACAAGGTTACTATTACAACATAATATGTATTTAATGCCTCACCTCACAAATTAGTTTGAGATAGTAGCAAAATAACACATCTGATATTTCCAACTTTCGAATGGTACATATACATTTATAGCAGTTCCATTTCATGTCACATATTTTCTAAATTTTCTTTTGTTATTGAATGCTAACTTTCTGCTTAGATCATGCCTAAAGAGAAAATCAATGTCTTATACTACAAAGGCATAGACACTGTATACCGCCAGTTTAGGTAATCATGCATAATTTTATTCTTCTTTGCTTTCTTTCTTACTTTCTCTTTTTTAAATTTAATTTAGATCATACTAAAATTCACGTCTCCTCACAAATTACTCTGAGTAACATAACATAATGATAATGCTTTTTTATTTTTTTTATTTCTTTCTTGCTGTTTTTTAAAAACATTTTTATGACATTTTTTATAGATCTGTGGACCTGAACAAAACAAGTACAACACTACAATCCCAGGATGGTTGAAAGCCTATATCGTGTTTCATTTTGCCATCAACTTCTTACTATTACAGACATTTATAGATCAGTGCAAGGTAATAGCAATAGTTTACTAACTTTAATGGAAAGCTATGACATGGTCACAAGGTCTTTAAAGAAATCCACTCAATGTCACTTTGATATGAATTATTGGTTTAATCTCCTTACGAATTATGTTCAGATATCAAATGTATCAACAAGTTATTGTCCGAATTTTTTAAAGAAAAGTTCATTACTTCGTCAGGAAAAAAGAATAATATTAATATGATGATGTTGTAATAACTATACTTTATATAATGCCGTCTTGCATGTGAGGGGATGGGTGTGTCGGTGTTTGTGTAAATATATTTAAAGGGTTTTGAAGGGCAATCCAACATAGTTCGTAATAAGTTGTTTTATATGAAAGCAGTAAAGTCAGAGAAGCACACTGTTGAAAGTTCACTCCAATGTTCACTATACGTGTCGTAACAAGTTTTCAAATTACGGATAACAATTGTATTATTATTCTGCCACTTTTAGGTAATCTATGTATATTTTTTTCCTCAATTCAATATATTTACATGTTACAACAAATATCTTTGTCATTATTTTGAGAGGTCCACATTTTACAAGCTCTGCTTTTCGGTGGGTCCCTCCATTTCCACAGGTGTAACTAACAAAATAAAAAAAGGACTATTATACTGGATATTTATGTACAGTATACTTTCTATTTTATAACTTTAAACCATGTGAAATGTATTATATTATTGAATATTGAATTGTATACCTGATTTCGTGTCAAAATCACTGTTCTGTTGGAAATGAAAAATAAAACTGAAACTGAAACAAGGGAGTTAGTTGGAAAGGATCAAGCAAATGAATTTCTCAATTTCCGAGGATATTGTGATGAAAGATTCTCTACACATTAGAGACATATCGAAATCATTTTAGTAGATTGCCAAAAATGATTGTTTTTCACAATGGGATAAATGTTATGTTTGATAATCGAAGGAATTATCTCAGCTTCAAGTCTTGATGGGGATGGTATTTGAGATCTACACCTTCACCTGCATCGGAATGCTCTGTAACCTCAAGTGAGTATAATTATGCCATGAAATGATCCACACAGTGTCCACAGTGGTCAAAGTCTATATAGAGTGACCAAATAAAAAAGAAATTCCGTTATATCAAGCCCCAATACCTTTAAAAAAAACAAGTAAAACTGCTGAAATATATTGTAATAGTATTATGCTAGTTGATAACATTTTCTGCGATTTGATAGGTATGCTTATTCATACGTGGAGCTTGTTGAGCCAACCTTTTTATTGGATATAAACAATACAACATTTTTCTTCAAATTCTAAACAAATTAATTCATGAATAATAAAAATGATAATAATAATAGGCATTTGTATAGCGCCGTCTATCTAGACAAATCTATTCCGAGGCGCACAAGGAAAATAGAAAGAATGAGAGAGTTTGGATGAGTGTACAGGTATTGTTTTTAAAAAAAAGATAAGATTTCAGCTTGGATTTAAAGGTCTCTAAGGAACAAATGCTCATGTACCCTTCACAGCTCATGTTATGTATTTTATTACCAAAGAAAATCAGTCAGTCACTCAATAGTGTCTGACAGTAAAGTCTAGAAAGTAAACGGGTTTCCTTGCATTATTTGAATATTAGGACGCTGCTAACGTTTATATTTCACAGATAGGACATACGTGACATGTTCATAATTCCTGCAAATCTACTTTAATAATACTCTTTCAAAAAAAATAAAACCTCTTTCGACCCTATATACAGACCATGGTGGAATGTCCTAGCTGAGATGGTACGATGTGCAGCGGTCTTTACCTTGACTTCCTTAGCTATTCACCAAGATGTTGAAGCTGGTGACGCTCTTCTCTTTCTCCAGGTGACCTACGGCCTTTCTGTGCTCTTCTGGTTCCTACGCCCTGGATCTCGCTGAGACATCTACAAAATCAAAATCTACATATAGGGCAATTAACGGTTCCCATAACAGTGATCTGGTAACGCCTTACTCTACCTTTGAGTGATCAAGGTCTCTCTGTCCTCTTTGGATTTCAGCGTCGTGGATCTCCCAGAAATATCTGTAATATAAGGTCGGTATACAGTCAAACCTGCTTTAGTGACCACCTGTCTACAAAGGCCACATTTATTGTTTCCCCTTAAAAAGGTTTCTCATTGAATCATGCACTAAAGGAACCAGTCTACCAATACCACCTGTCTTCTAAGGCCACTTTTTGTGTTTCCCTGGGTGGTCGCTATATAGACAGGTTTTACTGTATAGAGCAATTTTTACACTTACATTGACCTATATAAACTGTTTGTATGTGTGTTGAGTGTGTGTATTTACATATTTTGTTTTAAAGATATAATATATATATAATATATATATACGCATAGTGATTTTCAAAGTCAAATAACATTATACTAAGGGTGAAAATTTGTAAAATAATATTATCTTGTACGTATATAGGATCATTATTTATGTTTATATACATTTACGGATATTTGTTTATAAATAACTACAACAAACATTAATTAACTTAATGTAGGCCTATATTCATTTAAAAATTATGAAATTATAATAATGGTAATATATTACCATCAATGTTAATATAGAGCGCCTACTATCGTATATGGCGCTTTGCGGATATATCTAGCCCGGTCCTGGTCATCGGATTCAGGCTTGCCCGTATACACAGATTGACTCTTACCGTGTCTCAACATACGTTCTTGAAAATATTGAAATGCATGTCAATACGTTTTTTTATCTTAACATTATTTCTGTATATCTAGTTTGGTTCTTGCCTTATCTTTATACTGTACTGAATGTTATCAGAGAGCCTGAGAGAGGTGTTCTCGTTATACGTTATTTAATACTCAAATTTACGTAAAACACCATTATTTTCATGAATGTATTTTTGTCATGTTATTTATGTTCTGCACTATTATTGGAAAATAGTAAATAAATATTTTATTCCTTTATCCCTTTACCGGAAACGCTATGGAGATGTGCAGAGTATTATCATTTTAAAGGGTTTGAGAAAACATATCCAAAAGATGTGAAGAAGTTTTATCGATCTGCTTATCTTTTTTTTTTTTTTTCTTTATTCCTTTGGTTCTTTATTTTGTTCTGTTTTGATATATCGTCGTGGAGTTTCATTTTCTTCTTCGACATTTCCGTCAAAGATGGATTTAGAGTTGAATTTTTTCATGCAGTTGGGTTGTACGATTTGGAGTTGATTATTACAAAATACTGAGAGCGCCAAGAGCCTGTTATACAGTGTCGTAAAAAGGTACCCCCCCCCCCCTCTCTCTCTCTCTCTCTCCACAGATTTTTAGCTTTCACAATTGGCTTCTTTGTCATTCTTTATTACAGCTTACTGTGATCCATATTTTTCATTGAGGAAACCCCTGTTTGAGGGCCCTGGTTTGCCTTGCAGGAGAGGGATGGGTTACTAAAATGACTATTTGAGAAGAAAAGTCTCTTGAGAATGTCATATAGACCTACTCTGGCCATTTATGTGTATCATGTTATACTTATTGACACTCAAATGATTCCCTAAACTGCTGACAAACTACTATGTGTTTACAAACAGTGACAGCATTCTCTCTTTTCGACCCCCCCCCCCCCCCCTTTGTTTAATCTGTTTTCCCCTCTGTCAGCAAGATAGACATTGCCCATCATGACCCTCTTTTGAATACGTTGTTTAATTGGTAGCCAAATAGTGAAAAGATTGTATTGTTTCGACATAGCAAATAAACAAATTCATTTCAAGGATGGTGCCCCCCCCCCCCCACACACACACATACTTTCAAATGTTGTTGTGTTTTTGGAAATGAAATATAGACAGCTGCATGGTTTAGTTCACTTTCACTTTCAAACATAAAAGTCGTCTTATAGTCTCAACATTGAAACCATTTCACACTTTTACTATCAAGCGATATTCATCAAATCAGATGGATAAACGAAATTGTGTAACTGTAAGTCTTTGCTTCAAAATCAGTGATAGGCCTACATGTCCTAGCACTTGTAAAAAAAAAGATATTTTGATTTTTTGTTCTTCTTACATAATTAAAAACTATACCTGCGCGCCTTGCAAGAGACTGCGCCGCACTTCCGATACCAGCTGATTCCTGTAAACAGTCACGAGAGTTTTGAAGACCCACAATTTATATCCATGACCATGTAAGTATGATTAGTTAAAGTTTATGAATCGAATTTTACCCATGCTGTTTTTTAAACTAAATTGAAAGCTTAATAGATTTCATTTAACGTTATAAAATATAAGATATGCTTGCACAATATCAAAGTAAGAACCAAAGAGAGAGCATAGTGGGTCCAATGTGCGGGCAGCGGGCAGTGTGTCGCCTGTATTCACCCGTCTTCTCGGGCTCTAGCTAGGAAGCTCCGACGCCGACGCCGAAGTCGTGTAAAATGTAATCAATACACCACTGCAAAGGGTTCATTCTCGAATTCACTCAGTTAGCCTTGATCATGTCGCTTCCACTTTAAAGATAAAGACCAGTTATCGGTTATGGTCATGCGATTGCATTGTGAAAGAAACGTTGAATCAATCAGAAAAGTTGATCATCTAGCAGTACTGCAAGGTTCTGGAATTATCAAAATGATAAGAAAATTGGCCCAGTCTTGATAAAGTTACAAGCACTGTACACAGAAAGATGTATATGGGACTACGCGACACATGCACGATATCTATCAGGTCCAAATAGATATAATATTTTACCAAATATATCAGTAGGCAGTTTCTCAGCAAAATTTGTATCATTACGTACTACTACTAGTCGAAACATATTCTTTCACGTCATTGGTAATAAGAGCTTCCATTTCATTTTTTGAGAGGGGAGCATTTCCAAAACTGGTCTTTACCTTTAATGTTATATAAAAATAATTTGTGATCTCATTCCTTGTTTTTTTCTCAAGTCGTCCAGCTTTCTGCTTCAATTGAGTGTGACAAAGACAATGCATTGAATGGGTATGCATAAGATTGCTTGGATACTAGTTGCATGCGCATAAAATATATTTGTTTGACCATATGATATGGTCAGTATAACATCGAAAAATGACCAGGAGTGAAAATATACAAATTATGGTCCTTGCAATTGATATCACATGACCAGTTGTGGGCCAATCATACCTTTGTTTCTGTAAGTGTAACCCTAGTTTCTGCTCTAGATTTTTTTTTTAAAATAAGGAGTGGATGATTGTCATTTTTTTGTGATGTTTGTCTCACGTACACAAACCAATTCTGTGGGGTCATTGTCACCTCAAAATTTCCATTTGCTCAGGCACAATAGTGGCTGAAAACAAATGGAAATTACACAAGCTTCGTGTTATGCTACTACATTTCCAAATTTTCTTCATAATTCATTACAATATTTTATTCCAGAACAATTTTTGTTACTACTGCAGAAATCCAAAAGTGGGATTGAATGAATGAGATACTAAGAATCATGTTTACTCTTCCTGATAAGACTTAAGTTTATCAAACAATTATTTGCATTGTTTATTTTTGTCTCTGTAGAAGGTCTGTTCTGTTCAGGAATCATGGATGTTATTTTCAAGGTAGATGGCGCTACAGGAGTACGGCGCATGTTCTATGCAGTAACGCCAAATGAAACATCATTTGAAACACTGGATGAAGTTCCCAAGTATATTGTTGAGGTGAGACATAAGTACCGGTATGGCAAAGATGATTTTGAGAACAGAAGGTACAATATTCTGCATCACTAAAAACTTAAATGATAGGCTACAAACATGAGATACAGAATATTTATCTTTGGTAGCAGGGCTATGTAAATATTTGTTAAAGATGTTTTAATTATCATTATTATTATTATTGTTGTTTTTTCCACAAAGAATTATATATTCAAAGGGAATAATTCAAAATATTATGATTACTTTTTTTTTTACAGATAGAGTACTGATTTTCATTTCATTAAATGGTACAAAGATATTGATGAACTGTTTAAGATTTAATTCCTTTTTAATGCCAAGGTTGATGTTCGTTGTTGGTTCTGTTTTTTGTTGTTTCGTTTTTATTTTTGTTTTTCCATCTAGATCAGGGCCAATTTACATTGAATCTTTTTTAGCACTTAATCAGGAGATTTGTTTACACTTCTTTATCTAGAATTCTGAAATGACATTCATTTATGTCTTAGTATTCTTATCATCTTAAAGATATTTGATATTCAACTTTTTATCAGTAGTATCTAATTGTTACAAACTTATGTACCAGACTACCAGTTATATTAACTATCACTTGCACATACAGAAGGCTTTGAACAAACTGTTATGCCAATTGATCTCAAAGGTCTGTCGGATTAGCCAATGCAAAACAAAGATATACTTTTGTGTCTGTGATGATAGTGTTGCTAATTCATAGTCAAATTTGAAATTGTATTAAAAGCTATAGGGACATCACATGTTTGTATATTTGCTTGATATGAAACTGAAGAAGCTTTTAAGTATAGATCTTGATTAGAGTTTAAGTCTCATTCCATAATTTGAGGTTTTGGTGGACGTACATAATCTCTGGAAGCTGTGTTTTTAGTTAATGATTAACTAGATGCTGAGTGCAAATTACTCTTTGTATGATGCGACTTTTGTTCATCAGATATACTGATGTATATAACTGTTTGCTAATGATGTAAACAACATATAACAGTAACACAATTAAGGATACGTACTGTATATTCAATGTTCACTGGTAGGTATTGGTAGTAGGATGATCTATTCTTTAACCACCCGTCCCCCCTTCCATCCGATAGAACATGTATGCATACAGAGTGTCATATTTATGAAATGTGTACACCCAGAAATGCTAAATTTCCTGTGCTAGATATACTTTATGTATTCATGTCCTCTAAAGTTTGCCAAGTTCATTGATATCAGGTCCCCGTCTTACAAAGAGTTACGATTGATCCAAATCAATCGCAAGTCCTCCAATCAATCACAATTTTGCAATCTCCCATCTCTAATGTACATACTTGCGATTGATATCAACTGCAAATAAGTTGCTATTAATATCAACTCTTTGTAAGATGGGGCCCAGGTCAACAAACTTTGAGATAAATGTTGATAGACTTGGCCCAAGAAGCTCAGCTGTCGACCTCTTATATTATTCAGAAGCTTTCAACATGTTACTTCCATGGCAAATACCTCACTACTAAACCTGAATTGATGTGGTTTAATGATTATGTGTGCATGCTTTTGAGTATACAGGTAGGGAAGGTGAGGGAGAGGGATTAAAATATGCATTTTGGTTATGAGTAAAGCATATGTCAAGAGACATATTCATTAATATCAGTCATTTTTTAAAGATTTTGTATGTTCGACGGGTAGTTACACATTCTACATTTTGTTTAAAAAACATGATTATTATTATTTTTATTTTTTATTTTTTCGTTTTAAAGCTATTATACCCATACCTTGTAATTCACAACTTACACAACATTGATTCAAGCGCATTAATCAAATATTGGGGCAACACAATGTTTTCTTGTCTGTGTGTTTCCTGTCTCTATGTTCCATCCTGATCCCAACCTTAAACCTTCACCCTACTCTCTGGCCCAAATTCACAAAGGAGGTTTGTAGACAAACCTAGGTTTATGTGCGTCATATTACACGTTTTTACACGTTTTTACAAACCTTTGTTTACCAAGACTGGGCCAAATTTCTTATCATTTTGTTGATTCCAGAACCTTGCAGTATATGCTAGATGATCAACCTTTTCTGATTGATTCAACAACGTTTCTTTCACAATGCAATCGCATGACCAGAACTGGTCTTTACCTTTAACCTTCACCCTAACCCCCAAAATCAGTGAAATCAGTGCTCCATGATTGATCCATCAAATTGGCATTTATATACTCTTGCATTTTAACTGTTGCAGGCAGCCCCATTCTTTATGATCTCTGTGATAATTGAAGAGATCTACCTGAGATACCAAGATGGCGGAAAGGAAGACAGATTTGCAGATGGCATTACATCCATGATCGCTGGCATGTTCATGATTATTACAGGGTAGGTATTCATTCACACTCGTAAAAATGCATAAATTCTAATCTTCAGTCTCAAGACATTTTCCGCCCAATCCATTCCTGGTTATTATAAATACCTAAGAAAGATCCATCAATATAACATCCTTTCTATGGAATAGGGTGTTTTCCACTGCACCCTTACCTGCATCTATGAAGCATGGGAGGGGCACATTTTAAAACACATGGTTTGACAGACAGATGCTTTACCAACAGAGCCAAATTAACTCTTGATACTTCTGCCAAAATTCATGTCAAAGGGTCAAAGGTCAGCGGTCATTATGTTTGCAAAAATAGCTTGTGAACGCATTATCATTAGAACAGAAGGTTGGTTTACTATCAAACTTGAATTTTTGTTTTGTTTTGGTTTGTAAATTTGCTCTATGGCGGAGGCATCATTTTCGACTGTGCACAGTCGAAGATCCATCCAGTTTCATATGTGCCTTCATTTTAAGTTCTTTTCAACATTGTTTTTGTATATGCGGCTTGTTTGCAGGTTATTCACCAAGGCTATGGAGCTAGGTATCTATGTCTACGTTTTTGAGAACTTCTGCATCTATGAGCTTCCATGGGATAGCCCTTGGACTTGGTTCTTCAGCTTTTTTGGTATCGATCTTGGGTATTACTGGTTGCATCGAATGTTGCATGGTATGTGTTGCTCATGTGTTTTTGTTTTGATTTAAAAAAATATTTTTTGCTAAGTTGGGCCTGATGCTATTGTTCTTTCTCCCATTTTAAACCACTGGCATTTAAAAAAAGAAAGTCTTATTGGTTTATTCCAACTTAAACTACTATTAAACCAGAAAATTTCGCAGTGAGAAGCTTTTGCAAAGTGCAAAAATAGAGTGTTTTGGCAGTTGTGATTAAAATATTTCAGCCTACAAATGGACTTTTGTTTTATTGAAATATTTTGTGGTTTTAAAGCTTCGTAGCTTGGGATAGGTGTTTTTGACTAATGTCTATGGTATAATGGTTCATGCCTTCAAAGAAACTTTTAAGTATTATCATCTGTTTGGAGCCAGAAGGGTGTTTAATGAGATGTACCCTTTTTGGTCCAAACAGGAAATATAATCAGTGTTGCCAAAATTGAACTGTGAATTCTAGTAACAAATAGTATGCATTTATAGCATAAACAATCCTCCAATAGCTTGAGAATCACCCAAGTGGTATGATGTATTGGTCCTGCATTGTCTAGTGTAGTTTGATTTTCTGTGTTACATCAATTCAGAGGTACTTGTATCTCAGTCGAGCCATTCAAAAGTAGAACAAAAAAGTTTCTGTCAAATGCTTAAAGTATACTGTACCTGTGAAATACCTGACATCTTGGGCACTGTAACATAAAAAATTGACTTACCATCAATTTAAAACATTATAGTAATCCAATCTTACTGCAATGAATCCTATCTTACAATGAATTTTGTCTGTCTGGAACATAAAATAAATTGTAAGTTACTTTTTATTGAAAGTTCCGATTGATTGAAGGAGATATGACTTTTTGTAACTTTTAATGGTACATATTTTTTAATAAAAAAATGGTTTGATGGTTTAGATGGTATCATACATGTCTACTGTCCCTTTATGCGGAAACGTGAAGTGATAAATTCCTTTTTGTTGTTGTTTTTGTTGTTGTACAGAAGTGAATATCATGTGGGCAGCTCATCAAGTTCATCACAGCTCAGAAGAATACAACCTATCAACAGCTCTCAGGCAATCTATCTTCCAAAGATGCTTTAGCTGGGTAGGTTAAAAGGATCCGGTAACTTTGTCTCAGATTCTGAAACAAAATCCTGGATTTAGCTCATGCTTCAATGATAATTATAAACCTTTAGGTCAGTCAGGAAGCCCATGACTTTTACAAGCCGATCGCCTGTCTGATTATGAAGATATTTATGATTGGAATCACAAATATTAAAAACCGTTTGCCAAACGGTTTCCATAACACTACAGTCTATTGGGAAAAACAAGTATGGTAAAACCAGTCACTCAAAGATTTTTTCTTTTTTGAGGCACTCCTTGGTCATTTTGAAGCGCAATTTTTTTTTTAAGGGCTTCAATATTACACCATATCACAGACACTGATAACACGTAGGGCAGTGCATCTCAGATTTAACATTGTTAAACGACAAATCATCCCCCCCCCCAAAAAAAAAAAAAAAGAAAAAGAAGAAGACTATCTGGAATATTCAAATGATTAATCTGTTGAACACTATGCATGATGATATATGGGTCATAGTCTGTGGAAAGTGTGTGTCATGTCAAACATCAGATCTACTAGGTTAGGGATTAAAGAGCACAAGGGGAAAATATGATGTCATATCTAGCCCTGATTGGAAGGTAACTGAAAGGGAAACATAAAGATTATAATCTGTTTTCATTATGGACATAATTATGTCACTTGAAATAATTTCACTTTCCAATTTTTTTAGAAGGAGCCTATTGACATGTTTTAATCCTGGGTGGATAGAGACAGCTGTAGGTAAAATACCTTGTAAAAGAACATAAATTGAAGACTTAATTTTTCTATTGAAATCAACTGAATGGCTCATTTGAAAACAGTCATTTGAAGTGGCCAATTTTTTGGCATCCAAATACACTGTGTTTAAAAACAAAAAGTTATTTTAGAAGCATATTAGAAAAGGGGGAAGAAAGCAATCAATTAGACAGTAGGTGTGATGGTCAAGTGGCTAAAATATTCCCCAGGGAGTGGAGAAGGTGCATACATAGTGTGCGGGTAAGCCTGAATCCAATCACCATGCTAAAGATATATTTGTAATGTGCATCAAGATATTGAAGATGTTATTTGAATCCAGATTATGCTACAATGCATTAATTATTGTTTGCATCGAAATCAAATGTTTTTTCTACGTAAATATATCTTTTGCAGATGTTTTACATTCCATTGGCTTTCATACTACCACCTTCTTCAATGTTTGTGCATATGCAATTCAACACACTCTATCAATTCTGGATACACACCGAGGTACGTTGTAACTCTATAATTGCTCGCATGTTGCCCTCTGGGGTCCAAATATTTGTGATCAAGGCTATCCAATTCCTCTGTGACTGCGTCTATTTCCCTTTCAATTAATAACCTCTGGATTAGTTTAAACAGTCATGTGTTTTTCATGCTTTGTTCTCCATCTCATGAATAAATTTGATTCAAATTTTAAATTTTAAAAGAGTTCTGTATACTTGCAAGTTATAGTCAGTGACTTCACACAACTGTCTTAGACCTTTGGGCCCAAATTCACAAATGAGGTTGGAAATTAGCAATCCATATTTTTAAACATGCAACAGGAATTAAAATAAGAAGAATATTAGCAGCTGTTGTTCATTCATAAGACTTGATGAAGAATGTGGAGGTTAAACCATGATTTTAGAATAAACCTTCTTTGTGAATTTCGGCCTTAGAATTCTACTTCAAATTCTTAGATATCTTTTTTTCAGATAAATCTATTCTTATTTATCTAAACCACAGGGTATGTATTGATTGTGCTTTGTTAAATGGTTGAATTATTTTACTTCTGATTCTACCATGTAGCTTATCAGGAGTCTTGGACCATTGGAATACATTCTGAACACACCTAGTCATCATCGTGTTCACCATGGTAAGCTGTACTCTAGAACAATCGATTCTATTTATACTTAATGATTTCTATCACTACTTAATAATTCATTTTTGTTGAAATAATTGCAATCCCCGAAACCACTGATAGTAATTGGTTAGATCTTATTCGAAAATCTCTCTTGATTGTGAAGGTTTATATACTGTGTTCCTCTTGACAACTTTAATATGTTAATACCAGGTACTTCATTATATTATGTGAATAATTTGTATACAGATATTTAATATAGTGAGTTCAGAGTACATATATTTTTATGAGGAGAAATATGCAATGTTCAATTTAATTAAATTACCTCAGAATTGGAAACAATTTCATGAACTGTCTGTCATGTTGTTGGACATTTGTCGTCTTATATTATTTCATTTTCAGGTCGCAACAGATATTGTATTGATAAGAATTATGCTGGAACCTTGATCATCTGGGACAGAATATTTGGTAAGCATCCTTATTTGGTAGTTCATCTGGTCAGCTCATAATTAGCATAATTGGTTACTTTAATTCTGAACCGCTACATATATGGTTTGAAGATGATATTTTAGTTCATGATGTGATCCACAGGGCTTAACAAATTCCAATAATTTATCTTTCATGCTTGACACATTATGAAGAAAGGGGAAGGTCAAGGGGAGGCCATCAGAACTTGTACCTCTTATTTTGATCTGTCATTGTCGTTAAGTTTGTGGCACAAAGTACGTTAACAGTTTCAAGTGGTTCCAGTAAAGAATACCAAAGCATTCATTTCTTCTTAGGAGGTTATATTTCCTATTATTTTTACTGCAGGATACAATAAAACATTGGACATTTTAGGTAACCTCACACTTATGCAGTACTTCAGTTTGTATAACAAAGGAGCGACACATAAATCTTACATACCTCCCAGTATCTGTTTTGTTTCCAGTGTTGGTACACGATGTCTAATTATGTATTCTTCATAGTGATCATGAAAGGTTGTTATTTTCAAGTTATTTGTTAATTTGCTAGAATTATTAAATGTGATTTTTTTTTTTTTCAGGGACATTTGAGGCAGAAGATGATAGAGTTGCCTATGGATTGGTCCATCCTCTCAAAACATACAATCCTATCTCTATTCAGGTAGGTCATATTATATATTCAAAAATGCATTATTAAAAAAGTATTATTACCAAAAAAGTTAAGGGATGGAGTCACAGTGAATGTCAGTGAAATATTCCCTCCAGCATCAACATGCAGATGTCTTATGATTATCTATATGTTCATGTTTTTTTCTATGAAAGCAGAAAAATAAGATAAGCAGAATGGCAAAAGTTTGAAATAAATCAGACCAATAATAGAAAAGTTATGAATGTTTGAAATATGCGATCACTAAGTCTCTGCAAATCTCAAATTGGCAGTTTGGTCAGTGGATTGTGACATAGTCGCAGATTACTCCTCAGTTTGCCATGTACAACAATACCATTAACTTCTGCTGTTCCCCTATGTGCCTTTCTCCCTTGGGGCACTACTCAATATACATGACGGGTGGCATATTAGTATAGGTCTTAGTATATTTTCGAAAAATTTAAAGTTTAGTCATTTGTGTGTTAGAACAAATGAGAAAGTTGTCTGCCACTACATCACAGAGACATTACCAATATGAAGTGCCTATACCCATAGTGATTACAACTTTAAACAATTCATAACTTTCTCATTTTTTGTTCAAATTCATTCAAACTTTCACCAGTCTACTTCCCAGATTGTTTTGCTTCCCTCTAGAATAGTTTACTATCGAGTTAGATTTCCCTTTAAGCATATCGGATTCCTTTATCAAACATTCAAATTGACTTAACTTCTCCAACTCTTGTGCTTCTAGATTTGTCATCTTCGATGGATGTGGAGCGTGTTTTGGTCCACCCCTGGTCTGATGAACAAGGTCTTTGTTATCTTCAAGGGACCAGGTTGGCAACCAGGAAAACCAAGGACTGGACTCATCAAAGATATACCTGATGTAAGATTCTTTGAAATGATAACAAACATTTATGTAGCTCATATGAAGATTCCAGGCCACTGATAGCTAAAATCTGCAGGCATGATATTTCCTACTGACTACTGGGAAGTTATAGCGAAAAATATTGACCGGGCATAGTTCTACTTTTGCATACAATTCTAGAAAAGAATGCTCTTAGATGGGTATTTTTCCAGAGACTCTACAAATAAATACAATTTAAGAATAGACAAGGGGGATGCAGTATATAAAACAAATATTGACTGCTTATTTTTTAGTCATGGTTATAACTATACCTCCTGGGTGATCTCTGTCAAAGTAGAGTTTCAAAATCACCTAATAAAAGGGAAAGATTTGATATTTGCCCCTCAAAGCAGTCAATATTTGTACCGTAATACAGTTGTAATTCCTTATATGTATATTTGAGAATACTTGCAGTTAATTTATTGAATAAAAAACACAGATGTAGAACATATTCCTTTTGAACATCATGGCCATTCCTAAAAAAATATGTAGATACAGTGTATTTAGTTTGCCGCATTTTCCTCTTCTTTCTGTGCCTTGTCTAGTATTTGAGCTATAGATTATCATGAATTGTAATATCTCACATTATCCATTTGGAGGATTACATAGCAATTCTATGTTCTGCCTAGAATCATACCTTTCTGGCAATTTTCTATCCCTAATTTTGCAGTTCAGATCATGCCTGAAGAAAAAGTTCTTGTCTTTACAAAAAGTACTATCACTGCATTTTGATAGTGGTTAATCAAACACTATCTTTTTTATTCTTTTTCTTTGTATCTTTCCTTTTTTCTTTCATCTTTCGTTCTTTCTTAACTTCATTGTTTCTATCCTTTTTTCTTTCCTTCCTTCTTCCTCTTCTCTGTTGTAGGTGCGTGGACCTGAACCAAACAAGTACAGGACTGCAATCCCAGGATGGCTGAGGGGATATATCTTGTTTCATGTCGTCATCAACCTTCTTCTCTATCAACTCTTTTTGGACAAAGCCAAGGTACATATTGTATTTATACATTTATTCATTCTTTTATTCATATTTATTTAATTACTTATTTATTTGTTTATTATATATTGATGTAAGATCAAAGAAAGTCTTTTTAGAATGGGGAAAAATACACTATACCATAGGAGACTGAAGTTTAAGTGAATATTTTTTGTTGTTTGCATTATAATTTCTAGATATATTTTCATCATAAAAAAGAATGTACGGAATTGTTTCATTTCCCCCATGAATGTGGAAAAGGTTTCATAATTTGTAACGACATATTTCATGTTTGTTTTATGTGTAAAGTTTTATTCATATTTCAACATTGATAAGTGTCAACTGAAGCATTCATCTAACAGATCAAAAAGCTCAAGTGAATACAATTTACCTGTTTTAACATTCTCTTTAGATCACAAAAATCCTGTATATATTCTTACTTGAGTAATTTTGATATATCTGAGGAGAAATCATTTAAAAATGATAGTGGATAAGTTTCCCTTTTTCCTTGATCCATACAACAGTGTAAACACATGCATACTAATTTCATGATACTTATGAGACAAGCACATGAATTGAAAGAAATTTGCAAAAAAATTGTGCCACCTACTGACCTACTGATTGTATTTGATTTCAAAGACACTATCCCAGCTTCCCGTCATCGTGGGCTTGTTGTACCAGATCTATACCTTCACTTGTTTCGGAATGCTTTGTGACCTCAAGTAAGTGCAGACTATCAGAATAGTTTGAACTCATTCAAGACAAGCATTCTAAGTGTTTACCCGGCTCAGTAACTTTCGATTCAGAGCCGTATGAAAAAAGAACATTTTTTGTTTGCATATGCTGTATCCAATTATGTTGCATGACCAAACTGTGTTTGTCACCAAAAATTTTAAAACAGAAAATAAGCTGTAAAATTCTTAAATTGTCAACACGTTGAGAGGCTCAAAATGACTGTTTTTCACACAAAATTAGCAATTTTGAACTATTCATCATAGCTTACATCCGCGCATATTGTTGTCAGAAACATGCCATTTTATTAAAACGCTGTAGCAATAACGGGAAAATGTATTTGTTGCCAATTTGAATAAGAAAAGGTAATCAATTAAGCCTTTAGAAAATTCCTGTAATGATAAGGAGCTGTAGGTAAAGTTTCCAGGGGGGGAATAGTGAAATAGCCATTTTGTGTGCCATGTACTAAGATACCTAAATTCCATTGTCAAGATGTTTGCCTATCTCTTTAGAATGATTTGATTTTATAAATTGAAGATATTGCACATGCTTGATGCAGGCCTTTTGGACATGAAAATATGTACCAATTATGTGAAAGCATTTTGAAAAGAGTTAGAAATGTTGTCATAAAACATGAAAAATTCATATTTTGTTTTAGGTATTCTACTCTGGTATCCTAATTTTTATTTTTATTTCAACCCGATACATAGACCATGGTGGAATGTACTAGCTGAGATGGTACGATGTGCAGTGGTCTTTGCCGTGACTTCCTTAGCTATTTACCAGGATGTCGGAGCTGGTAACGCTCTTCTCTTTCTCCAGGTGACCTATGGCCTCTCTGTGCTCTTCTGGTTCCTACGCCCTGGATCTCTCAGTGGCATGGAGAAACTCAAGTCGGTTTAGGGTATCCCATTTCATGATTGATATCCTATTTTTTAAGTTGATGAATTTTATAAGTTTCTAAATTTATACAGGGAAGCCCCCAGCAATGAAATCATTACCTTAAGCATTCCAAACGGAATCTAGATGTATTACACATTCTTTGTAGTGACTTTGCTGAGTGGTCAGTTTCCTACACTACTGGGTAGCATTTCACAAAACCATCACAAGTGCAAGTTAGCAGGCATCCAAACAGGTTTCTCAGTAGGATGTTGGCAAACTTGTACTTGTGATGGTTTTTTGAAATGATGCCCTGATTCCCAAATTACAAGCATGGACCAAACACTCCACCTCCTCCGAACCCTAAACCTAACCTGAAATCCAATTACAACTACAACTTGAAATTTTATGAATTGTTCTAAATGAAGAGATGAAGGAAAATGAAATGATTGATCAATTGAAATACACAGGGTAAAATAAAGTATAATCTTTACATTCATGTAACTTAGGTGATCTTATTCCTTGGGAGTCATGCATTCCACATGTAATCCTTTAGCTCAGTAAAGTTTTATTCACAGCCCTAAAAAAATATACTAGATTCATTATAAGAGAGGGCAAAAATGTTTGCATATATTTTTTATTATGTATATCAAAATAAAAATTTGATTTTTTTTTATTCTTTATTTTTTTCGTTTTTTTTTCTTCAAATTTTCATCAAAGGTATTACCCATGTTTATTGTTTTCAGAAGCATTGCATTTATTGGAACAATGTACCACAATTTTGTTTTATTACTTTTTCCAATTTGAAGAACGAAATGTGATCAATTGAGACCAGTTATGGCTATGCGATTGCATTGTGAAAGAAACATTGTGGAATCGATCAGAAAAGGTTGATCATCTAGCATTTAAGTATTGGTGTGTACTGCAAGGTTCTGGAATCATCAAAATGATAAGAAATTTGGCCCAGTCTTCGTAAAGTTACAAGCACTGTACACGGAAAGATGTATATGGGACTACGCACACGTGCGCGACATGTGTGTTTATCTTTCACACACCAATGGATAAACTTTTTTACCAAATTTATCAATTAGTAGGCGGTTTCCCGGCAACATTTTTATCATCATGTATTAGTCAAAACATACTCTTTCACATGATTGGTAATAAGAGTTTCCATTTCATTTTTTTGAAATTGGGGCGTTTCCAATACTGGTCTTTACCTTTCAGCATTCATGCTTTATAATAGTACCTCCATACTTTCAAGTTTTCAATTATATATATGCATTGTTTGGTGTGTATTTCAGTTGTTATTTGATATTTTGTATTTGATTTTTCAATAAATGCAGAAACATCTGCTAACAAAATATTAAAAAAGAAGATATTCAGCCCCCCCCCCCAAAAAAAAAATATATATATATATATATACGGTCCTGAAAGGTATGGCTTAAAAAATACATTATTACAAATATTGTGTGCCTTTATCTAATGAGACATCATGTACTTGGTGAGAAGTTTTTTTTTAAGCTTGCAAATTGTTTTGAAGTAGATTGTGTTGTGTGAATATGTATGCAAGGGTTGTATGGCTAAATGAATATAAAGTTAAGTGACTGAAAAATAATGACAGATAAAACAATTTTTTTCAATTTCTTTTAAGAAAATAATGTCTTGTTGGTGTAAAAAAATATTTTAGGGGCTTTTACATGGAATAAGTCAAGAGTTTTATGGCATTTAAAGATACCCTTCCCCCCCCCAAAAAAAAGAAGATTATTCAAAATAGGAGATAATATATATTTGGAGTACTTATATTAATAACTATTATTTTAGTCTGTTTATTTCCAAGTTTGTAGAATGCAACAAAAAATTGTTATGATAATCATATCATTGCATCATGTTTTTTATTCTTCATCTCCTTTTCAAGCATTTTTTTAAAAGATATTCAGTATTACAATATTCAGTATTAAAATACATTGTTAGATGTGCCTGTAAGCATATCTTGTATATTTGAGACTTAAAGTTTCTCTTGTTACTGTAAACATCAATATACCTATTTTAATTATTAAATATATTATATTTTATGTACATATACTTGATATAAGTGTGCTGTAATTTCGCCAAAGACCTAAAATGCCAAATTATTTGTTTTCTGTACTATATGACTTATTTGTAATTAATGTATTATCTAATACATTTTAATTAATGATTATTCTTTTCCTTTACCCAAGATTCTGGAAGAATGCTGTGTTCTCAGCAGTCAGGCTTCCAGTTCAATTAAATCCCATTACACTCGTCATATACTCGGGAGTGTTCTAAACAGATTGTGCAACATTTTGTTGTGCATTAATTACAGGGTGTTTTTTTTTAATTGTGTAATTTGTATTAATTGTAAAACAAAATATGATCCTTTTTTTTTTTACTTTTACAAAGGTCTTTCATAAGAATAGATAAATTATATTTGTATGATACTATTACAAAAGATGTTATATTTTGAATGAATTATATTGAAATGAATAAAGATACATATTCATTCACCTCATGTCTGTTCAATTGTGTATCTTCTATATTGAATTTGTGACATCGAATTTTTCAATTCTTTTCCAGATGGTATATAATAGTTTAAACAATTTTTTTTTCTGGGGGGGGGGGAGAGTAAATAAATATCATTCTCTTTCTCAGATATGCACTGTTGGTATTTGCTCTTTTCTCCATCTCTGTATGGTTTTATGAATTGGTATTTAGTTTTTATTTGACAATGTTCATTATCATTTTGGTTTGGTGAATAGCTATTGGGTGTGAACGGATTAGCCACAAAATGATGATGATAAGGTTATTGTGGTTTTCTCTGGTGCTTTGGGATATAAGAAACGAAGTACTGAAAAACAGTGGGGAATGAGAGGGAGATAAGAAACAGGGAGGGAGAGATAGCGAGACAAAGATAGAAAGAGAGAAAGAGTAGTATTAGAAGTAAGGAATCTGAGGGAGAGCGCACGAGAAGAAATTTATAAAGCATTTCTCAATAGGTTATTTAGGATATATACAAGTACTAGTAAAAAGGGAAATAGCCTGTGTGAATAAAAAGAAAGAAAAGGAAATAGCTGGGAGTGAGAGAGATTTAGAAAAAAAGTAGGAGAGAGAAATTTAGAAGGCAAAGGAGAGGTAAAGAGAACGAGGAAAAATTGAGGGCGATATGCGGCCAAACCTTTGGTTTATTAAGTATAAAATAGTTCTTCGTTTAACCGAGTACTTTATCTCTTTCTTCTGCTCCTACGATCTGCTCCTTCGGTTGCTTTTTCTTCCTCTTCTACTTTTCTCTTCTTCTCCTATTCGTTATTCTTCTTGTCTTTTTCTTCCTCTTTTTCTTTTTTAGCTTCTTCTTCTTTATTTTTTCTCTCTCTATCTCTTTTTTCTCTGTTTTTAAAGGCCTACCCTTTTCGTATGGCACCTCCCTTTCCGAGTCCCTTGTCTGAATTCTTAATATCTTCTATCAAACGTAAATAGTCCCAGGGATAAACCCAACAGGGAAATGGCAAGGTTGATGTTATGGAGGGAAACTGTAAAATTATGCTGTATGGTTTAATAGGTTGTGAATCATGAAAGACTCTCACTTGCGTGTCAAAGTGATAGTGAGAATCCGTTTGGTTTTGAGGACGCACGTCGTATAATTCATAATTTCCGATTCATCCCAGACCTTCCAAATACCTGCAGATATTCATTTTTTGACTCACGGCTCTGGAAGTTATATCTATCTTAAACAGTAGCCTCTAGATATGATACTTCCCGTCCTCTTTAAACGGGAATGAACCATTTGTTGAAATTCATCATTTGAAGTAGAACAAGGTACGTTTCGGCAATTTTCTTTCAGAGAGTAGACATATGGGCATCCAACAATCAGAATCATAAGCAGGTAGAACAAAAATTAGAAGAACAAACATACGATATATATTCAAGAAGTTGTGATTGAAGATGGAAAATGTTTAGACTATATGAAAATAAGTTTGTTTGCATTGATATGAATTATGTAATTAGAACAATAATGCCGGTGCCGGTGACGTACCGCATTATGTACAAAATCTTGGTTTTAACTTATAAATGCATTCATGAATTGGCACCAATTTATCTGTAAGAACTAATCCAGGAATACAAACCCTCATGCAATCTATATACGGTCATCTTCACAATTAAACATCGCGTCTATACTTCGGTGTCAACTCTTTCTTATGGTCATCGCTTCTTTTGCAAAGCTTCTGCTGAACTTTGGAACAACTACCTTTAAATGTTAAAAACTGTCAAACTGTTGAGACACATTTATTCAAAATTGCTTTTGATGATTAACTTACTCTGTTCACATTGATGTGTATTTCATATGTATTGTAATTTGTAGGTTTATTTGCACTTTTTTGTTTTGTTTAATATGTTATTGTTTATCAGTATATTTTCTTTGTTATAGCGCTTAGAGACTTCGGTGGTAAGCGCTTTACAAGCAAGGTTTTTAGTTATTCATTTATTTATTTATTTATATGGCAAGAAAATTGATATTTTCCGGTGCATTCCTCCTCCCCCCCCCCCCCCCCCCCCCCACCCCACAATCACACTCTTCTCAATGGCTCAATACGCTAGTAAGGCGAAATAGGGTGTGGATGAACATTTTGTATCGGTGATAACATCAAAGTAAGGTTAAACCGGAGACTAAATGAAATGACGCCACCATACACCCAATTCATTTGCCTGGTGGTGTGACGTTGAATGCATAGACGTAACACCAATGAGCTCATTGAACGCAAGTAAGATGACAGGTGTAATCCAATCTGAACTATTCTTTACCCAGTCGTTTATATATTTGCTTTATGTTATCATTCATAACAAATACTGTTTTAAAATTTGTACAGGCAGAATATTACCAGAAATTATTCATCAGAAAGTAATTTTATGTTAACTTATAGCTGTAGCTTGTATAAAATCTTGGTTTAATAAAACCCATAGTTCAATAAGCCTGAAGCGAGACTAACTTTACCGGTCTTGTCGAATGGCTTCGTAATGAGAAACTGTACGAAAATAAACACTGTAGACGACTCACCTGCTACTGTTAAACTTGAAACAGGCTCAGCTCATCACATTTTAGTTTCGACATCTTTGACCGGTCGATTATCTGTGCACGCTAATTTCTACTTTGGAAGTTTATGAGGACAATGATGGATTTGTGATAAAATCCAGGATATTTTGTTCTTACTTAGCAGAGAGAGCAAGAGGAAAGAGCCAGAGTCGAAATGACGACGAAGGAATTATACTGCAAGGTAAGGTGCCGATACGCCCCCTGCCCGCTCCCGTACGGGTCGGTAGGCTTTACCTTTGTGGAATGGGCCAAATTAACTTAGCGCGATTGTCATGATTGTCTCGGTGTATGTTGATGTAGATTCCTGTGACTGAGTCTGTGGTGTAAAAGAGAATATTGTTTGTAAATCTACAGCATTGTAGAAATAGAGTTGTTATTGGTTATGAAATAGAATTGTAATTGATTATGAATATGCGATTGAAGTGGAAACTGATGGTTTGATTTAAAATGGTTGACGAAATGCAGAGCTGTAGTGATTAGCCTGACTAGTGGGTAATATTTGTTGGCATCTGTTTAGATTTTACATACATATTGATAGTTAGTAGCATAGTGATGATA